CGTCTGTTCTGAGGGCTGATGTTCGACGGGGATTGAATTCAGGATGTACTCTACACGATTCGCGAAAGCAAGTAGCGATTGGTACGAAAAGGTGTCTAGCTGCAATTCCAACAATGCCTGCTCAGTTAGGTTCGCTCCACGGCGCTGGTCAAGGAAGAATCTGTGGGCAACCATTTGCAACAGCACCCTTCCCCTAGGGGCTGTGTACTGAAGCTGACAACCTTCAATGTAACCCTGAAGCTGAATGCCTAACTCATTGTTGAGATGCTTCGGGTCTGCAAGAAGTGATGCCAAATGCGCGTCAAACCTCGGAAGTCCCTGGGGATCTGACAGGTCCGCATCCTGCGATGATTCGAAAGCGGGCAGAAGCCACTTAAGCAATGTATCGGAACCGGTCCTATCAATGGCACATACCTTGGTCACAAAAGCGTTCTTCCAGGATCTAAACTGAGCAGCATCGCGAGGGAGAGTCGACTTTTACCAACGACAAATCCTTGTGCTTGCACACATCATCTTCCGAAAACAGCATCGTTGACCCGACACCACGGCTATTGTAGCTTCGATGGCTCCCGGCGCTACCGTGCGGGCTAGGATCAGAAGGGTTTGGAGGACCTCCGAAGTCTAACCGCAATTCCGAATCATCAGAATCGTCATCTGAATACGGGTCATGTTTGACCGGGGAACCATGCCATGAAGGATGTGGTGAAGGATTCTGCCTTACCGATGGTGCTATTGGAGCGGGTGCTCGCTGGTATGAGGCAGCGGGTGGCCGAGTGCCGACGCCGCTGGACAACGGTAATCTAGGTCTTCGAGGGCTATACGGAATCCCGCAATGTATTAACCTCAGCCCTTAACTCAGCAATGGTAGAGGCTAACTCCGTGCCATTGAGGATGTTTGGTGGTGGGTCCGAAGGTGGAGGCATGCTCTGATGACGAAGCACAGTGACCTCGTTCTGTAGTGTACGGATTTGCGCAATCAGTTCAGCTTCCTTTTGTTGGAATGCCAATTCACGCTGCTGGACTTCTAGTCTCAACTCGGATCTGGCTTGTTCGACTGCTGCGGCTGCTGCTGCCTTAGCGATTGCCTGAGCCTCTAGAACCGCAGTCTGAGCCTGATTGACAACTTGCGTTCCGAATTGCCTAGCCTCTTCCCTCGCTTGACCCTGGGCCTCCTGGACCACTGCTTGGGCCTGACCATAAACCGTCGACTCGAACTCTCTAGCCTGAGCCATCACCTCGTTAGGATCAAGTCCTATCCTGATGTTTTGTTGATACAACCTCACTCCCGAGCTATCCTGAACCCCAGACCCTTGGGAACCCTGGCCGGTAGGAACATATGGAATGCTCCGGGCTGGCGCAGCTCCTGTGCGCACAATGGGGCCATCATCTGGGCTCCGGTTGTGTGGAGATTGGTTGGCGAATGGCACCAACGAACCACTACGTGGGCCTTTGTCGGAGGCTGGGGACTGCTTAAGGTGAGGTCCTTTTCTTACTGTTGGCGATGGGGAAGAGCTGTGGCTACTACGCGACCCTCGGGATGACCTGGAGGAAGCTCTAACCGGCAATGCCCTAACCCCACTACTGGATGAAGTAATCTGCAAGGAGCTTTGCTCTTCTGACGACATTTCGTGGGACATGATTCAAGCAATTGGGGACTTAAGCGGGGTTGGCGACTGCCGAAACTCCCGTGTTCTTTTCAATCCCTTGCGCCCTCACCACCCAGAGATGGCGGGAAGGACAAGGTCGCACAGCTCTGTGCGGCGGGCCGGGTGAAGCACCAAGCCGTTCCACCCGTAGCGATCCCAGCCAGAAAACTCAGCACAGATTGACGGTTTGTCGTCCACGTGGACGACTGGGATCCCGTCGCTCAAAGATGAAGCTGAAATCGCCGACCAGAGTCGCTGGGCCTTGTTCGGTCGCCTGATAAAGAGAAGTGGCAGGCTACGCACGTTATACCGCGCTGACACTGCCACTTCGCGCACGTACTCCAACGCGTGCTCAATCAAGCTTTCCGTTGAACATTTGGAATTGACAAGGATCAGTATATTGCTGCGTCGAGACAGGTTCTCGAAAAGATAGCGGGACTGCAAGAAGGTTCTATCCAAAACTCCGTGGTAATCAAGGGAGAGAATATGGGTGACGCCTCCTTGCTCTTCAACCGCGCGATCAATTGCCGCAGCAAGATAAAGTGGATTCTCGTCGCACCGGAGCAAAGACAGTGGCTTGGGCGGCGGACCTGCTGGCTCAACTGGACGCTGCTTTGGCCTGGCCTTCTGCTTGGGTCTCCGTTCTGGGATCTCAGGCGCAGCAGTGGGACCTGTTGCCGAAATGTGCTGTGTTAGCACGGGTCTAAGGGGAGCAGAAGGGGGTTCAGGAGGAAGCGGTCTACCGGAGCTTAGCCTATCGGAACCACTTAACACACTGAAGTCAGGCTGGTCACGAACAGAAGGCGATCGCGACCTGCGCTCAAGTGAGCTGCCCAAGTGGGAAGATGAAGAAGCTGGCTCGGCGGATGAAGATGCTGGCTCTGCTCGCTCTGAAGTGTCCAAAGAATCCAAAGAAACCTCGGCCAAATCCTGTAGCGAAACGGGCTCCTGCAACACCGAGTCTGAGTCAGACTCTTCCTCCTCCTCCTCCTCCTTCGGAAGGAGAGGAGTCCCCTTGTAGATCACGTACCCAGACGCGGAGATCTGCGTAAGCCGCGCGCTTACTTTAAAGAACTTGGAGGCCAATGCCGGCACCTGCCCTGGAGGCTTATTGAACACTTCCTCGGCGAGGTTTGTCAAACTCTCTCGCCAAAGCTGAAGCAGCTTTATATGAAGTGAGCGGCGCTTATTGTTGGCGGCCTTGCCACCTCTAGAAGCGCGGGTGTCGGCTCCAAATGCCGCAGCAAGTCCAAAAAGCTCTTCACGGCGGTCCGGTGACAGCATATACGGGTGAGACGAGGAAGCCGATTAACTCCAAGTCCCAATGCAAACCCCCGTGCCGTTAGAGTGGCTTGCAAATTTACCCCCGTGCCGGAACTGTGGCTTGAAGTTGATGTATCCCCCAATGCCGCTACTGTGGCTTGATGTTACCCTTTGCCTGAATCGTTGGCTTAACTGTCCCTATGCCAGAATCGTTGGCTTAACTGATGGCCTATCGGATGATGCAGGTGACTTCGTCGGAAAACCACACTCAACCGACAGTACAACCAACCACAACCAACCAGGATGCGGCCGGTGGCTGTGTGCCAACACGGCAGCAGAGGTGGAAGTGCTTTCGATTGTTCCAGAATCCCAAATCTTATGAGATCAACCGAAACCAGAAATCGAACCTTTGATTCAATCTCAGCTAATCCTTCCAATCACCACGAGGCCTTGCTACCCTGAAGTCGTGAACGGACCTTTGGGCAAGGTGATTGGATTTCGGGTGTTCCGGGTGGCAAGGTGCCGACACCGGCTGTTCGGGAAGTCAAGGAAGATGTTGAGGATAGCAGGGGCTGTTGGCAGTTGCCGAATCAGCCCTGTACCTAGAGAATGGTCCAAGCTGTCTCCTCGACGCAGCAGGCGGAGGAGAGAGTGCGCGCCTCGACACACGAAGTGGAGACACGAACAACAGCTATGGGAAATAACGAGGAACCTGAAGATAGATTGGTACAAAGGCGGTGTCGTCTATGTACCTAGGATGAGATGCGTGATGAATGCGATACAAGGCAATCGTGAGCTCGCCTCTCCTGTAGAAGGAGCGAAGCAAATTACGCACAAGCCTGCGCAACCTCACACGGACTCTAACCCAACGTTGGCGCCTGGCCAAGTATGCAGGAAAGAACCTCCTTAAAATGAAGATTCGGATATCGTAGTACAGCTCTGTGAAGAAGTAAACCACACGTTCCCAAAGCGTAGGCCAACCCCCAGGCGTGGGCATACACTAACGATTCTGTGGTTCAGCAATATGGAAAGCTCCCTGTTGGCTGGGTGCCTAAGCAGGGGCAGAGGTTGGCAAGAATGTGAAAGAAGGACAGACTCTACCCGGTGGTTGGCTCTACCTACACGGGGAGCACAGATAACAGTGCAAATATGGAAAGAGATGTGGAATGGCGGGTAGGTCTCTCACAGACCAATGACACTCCGATTTCAAGCTCTACCCTAAGGGAGCAATATGGAAGGTGCTATGGCGTCGGTAGGCTCCTACACTACCTACACAAGCAAAGCTGAGGCTGTTAACCAGTTAATTGCAGGGCAATCTCTGATTCCAAGACACAGTGATGATAACGCTTCTTTTGTGTCTTGAGCCAAATATCGGTGATAATTAACGTCTTCGAGTGAAACTGCTTCAAGATGATCTACATAAGAAGGGCCTGGGGGCTCGTGATTTCTCAACTCTGGTTCCCCAGAAACGGCAACTACAAAAGAGACTGCACGCACAGTCCAATCTTGCAATCCTGTCTCAATCCAGTCATTTGGTTTCGCTTTGGGGTTTTAGGATTTAGGGAATACTACAGTCTTGCCACTTCGGGCTGACCTTGAAACTGAATCACAGGGAGTTGAAGTGGGACTAAATGGAACTAGTGACAGTACCCCGAACCGTTGCGATGTGGCTGTCAGTACTAAGCAGTGACCAGCCACACGTAGCTGCCCGCACTGGGTCGTGACCTCTTCGTACTGAACCATTTATGTAAGGGCCTTTACAGTTCCAAAACACACCAACAGCAGCTCACAAGCCCAAAAGTCCGGATTCCTGAAGAGATCGGCACTCCAACTGACCTATGGCATTTTGTACGTTGCCAGGGGGGTGAGGTTGAGGAAGCACGTGATCTCTCCTGCAATCCTCTTCAAAGCGATCCTGCTCAGGGGGCTACAAGGTCCCGTTCACGTCATCCAAACATTAATTAAGTGAGACTGAACAGAGGTTGTTACTGCAACAGGCTACTCTGAGAAATTTCGATCCCGCTTGGAAGCTGCGACATGGACAGTTTCTTGGCAGGCGACTTTTTCCCGCGATTCGGCGGCTGCAGAGGCTCATGGGCCCTTCTTCAGGGATTGAAAGACACCAGCTGGCAGCTTACGAAGATCCAGCACGGCATTCCGTGCATCCGACAGCAGCTTCCTTGGCACGGCCGGAGAGTTCTTGTCGGCAATATGGGAGTTTCCGAACATTGGGGGCCCCAATATAGTACCCTACATGGTAGGATCCTGAATATGAGGACCCCAGAATAAAATAATCCTAACTTTCGGAAACTCCCTTTTGCACTTATTGTGTTGCTGATGCCTCTGCTGCTGCTCGGGATGACCGCTGCGCTCCCCTGTTATTTACCCGTGCTGTCCTTGGTATGTTTCTTCTCTGTCGTTGCATCAACGGTAGGTCTGTCCTGATTGTCATGTTCTCATCAGGGACGCTATTTTTGCGCGCCTTCTTCTTGGCCTTCTTCTGATACTGTTGCTATCAAGGACGACTCGGAGGGCTTCTCTTAGACCCATCAAACACGCCTTGTTCTTATACGAACCTCTTGGGTTATATACGGTTTAGATTACGACTATGATGCTGATGATGCTTCTCAATATTCACTTGTCCCGCGATTTGTGTTATTGTTTCAGCAGCATAGTCATTGGTATGATGGTTACTATAACACGGAATATATGAAATATGCTTCCTCCCCCAAACCCCTAACCCGATCCCCTGCAAACCCCAAACCCCCACACCCCTAAACCTAAACCCTAAACCCCAAAAAACTCTAAACCCTTCCACCCCTAACCCCTCAACCCTAAAACCCCTAAACCCCCAAACCCCTAAGCCCCTTGGTGGAACCCTGGTCTTCAACGGAACCCTTATGGATTCCCTTTTAAGGGGGACCCAAGAACCCTTGTAAGAGACTCAAAGCCACGGGATCTCCACCCGGTGTCCCAGTGCTTCGCTGCCGGACAAAGCGGAGACCATCACGGTGAGGCCTTGAGGTTTGGTTTTTTTTTTTTTTTTAAGCGCCCCTTTTTCGACCTGGGGTTTAGGGTGTAGGGTTTAGGGGTTTAGGGTTTAGGGTTTAGGGGGTGTAGGGTTTAGGGGTTTAGGGTTTAGGGTTTAGGGGGTGTAGGGTTTAGGGGGTTTAGGGTTTAGGGGGTTTAGGGTTTAGGGGTTTAGGGTTTAGGGGGTTTAGGGTTTAGGGGTTTAAGGGTTTAGGGGTTTAAGGGTGTAGGGTTTAGGGGTTTAGGGGTTAGGGGTGTAGGGTTTAGGGGGTTTAGGGTTTAGGGGGTGTAGGGTTTAGGGGTTTAGGGTTTAGGGTTTAGGGGGTGTAGGGTTTAGGGGGTTTAGGGTTTAGGGTTTTTAGGGGTTAGGGTTTAGGGTTTAGGGTTTAGGGGGTTTAGGGTTTAGGGGTTTAAGGGTGTAGGGTTTAGGGTTTAGGGTTTAGGGGGTTTAGGGTTTAGGGTTTTTAGGGGTTAGGGTTTAGGGTGTAGGGTTTAGGGGTTTAGGGTCTGTTTTAATGTGTGAATCGGCCAGGAAAGAGTATTTGGGTTTCGGGCTTAGGGTTTCGGCTTGTGGTGTTTACGGTTTAGCCTTTGTCTGTGGGGGTCTATCCTCCCTGCTCATGTATGTGGTTGTTTCGATACCGTGAAATGCCGTCAACAGATCTTCAACTAACTCGTTATCCACTTGCCCAACATCACATGTAGCATGCTAAAAATCTGTACGTAGTTCTGTACAACTCCACATTGGTTCATGGCCATGCCTCAAAGCCGATCCTGAGCCAGGAAAACTGGCACAGTTCAATATAGAGGTAGGAGTAATTACTATTTTCTTCCACCCTTGTAATCCCCTTCTCGTTATACAATAAATATACCACGTAATGCTTCCAAACCCTCTTCTAAACCCTGGCAAACCTAGGCGGTTGACCCTAAACCCTGAACCCTAAACCCTAATTGATTTTTGAAGCCCCAAACCCTAAACCCCTAAACCCTAAACCTCTAACCCCTAAAACCCCAAACCCTAAAACCTCTAAACCCCTGAACCCTAATTAAGGTCCTATAGTACTGCTCTGAGCTCGCCGACTGCTCGCCGTCGGGCGCAGTCCCTGGCAAGATCCAGGACTTCCGGGCTCCCGGCTTGATCTTGAGGGTTTAGGGGTTTAGGGTTTGAGGTTTAGGGTTGATACCGGGATTCTTTAGGGGTTTAGGGTTTAACATCGGGGCCGTAGTAATTAGAATAGGGTTTTGGGTTATATACATTATTTATACTATCACTTAATCTGAACCCCCCCCAAAAATAGGATAGATACTGATTAAGGCCGCTATATTAGGGTCTTTGTAGGGTTCAGGTTTGGGGCGACTTTGAACTTTCTGGTTTCGAGTGCATGGGTTCGGAAGTTAGAAATCGAGCATCATGGTTTGGGAGTTCAGGATTCAGAGTGTGGGTTCAGGGCTTGGGATTGATTTCGGGCTTGGACTTCATGATTTGGACTTCATTGTTTTTTGGGCTTGGGGCGCAGGACTGCGTGGTTTAGACTTCGGGGTATGGGGTTTGAGGCATAGACTTCATGGCTTTAACATAGTGCTGTACTACCAACCGGGATTGGGGGAACAAAGAATTTTACGTTCAGACAAACGGAACCCAACCATCTCCAAGCTACATACCAAAGAAGATGCAAAAACCTTACAACTTGCAATGCGCTCCCCTTAGAGCCTCCATATACATATACATATACACAAATAGATGTATACGTGTATTTCTAACTATATACACACATATCCATATGCATGTATATACAGATGTATGTTTTTCTACATATATATATATATATATGCACGTACATATTCGTACATATATGTATGTATATATATATATATATACGTATGTATAATAGAGAGAGCAGCATGTTATACACCAAACACCCTCGGCCCGCAGTGTCCCTACAGAGGCTAGTATAGCAAGAACATCTTTCCCTATTCATAAAACTCCAAAGCCCAAGGGCCTCCTTCGTCATCACTTGCCGTAGCCGGCAGGCGGCGTCGCGTTGATCTGCGGAGGCGCAGGCCCCCAAAGCACTGGAGAAGCCTCCAGTGGTTCTGGGCTTTGTAGCATTTATAGGATCTGGGGGGGAGGATTCTCTAGCAGGGAAGACTCCATTAGGTTTCGGGGTGTAGTCTGAAGGGGTTTCACAGTTTGAGGGTCCAGGGTTTTTGGGATTCAGAGTGTGGGGTTTCGGGTTCGGGAGCTTAGGTCAAAGGCGGTCGGAAGTCCCCGTGGGACGCCGCTTGGGGAGGCCCATGATGCAAGTCGGGAACCGAAATGGCCTTTGCAAGAATTTCTTTGACCCAGACCACCCGCTGCTAACCAGCGCAAGTTTCTGAAGATTCGACCGGGGGTCTGTCAGGTCCTCGACAAACAGTTTCCCTCCTTCCGGAACCCTGAACCTTCCAAAATTTCCTGCTAGCACCCAAACTCCCACGGCCCAACCCCCCCAAGGCCTTTTGTAGGGTAACTAGAATACGGTCCTGGGGTCCATTTTACTCTAAGTATGAAGGAGCCCCCAACATAGTGTAGGTCATTATTAAGGACCCCAAAGCCTACTTGGAGGATCGTGGGACTTAGTAAGTAAGGTTATAAGTACCTTAATTGGGGTTATAAGTAGTTATAAGTATAGTTGCCCTAATTATAACCCTAGTTACTAAGTCCCATGATCCTTTAAGTAGACCCTAAACCCCTAAACCCTATAGATCCCTTCAAGGAACCCCTATAGATCCCTTTAAAGGGACCCTTAAAGGAAATCCAGGGAGCCGATAAGCCCAATGTCACCTGGCGCCCGCCGCGTGTGGAGAAGAGCCAAGGCTTGAATCCACTTCTGCGCCTTCCTGGGCGAATCGAGGGAGGTTCATGGGTAGTTATAAGTAGGGTCCTTTAAGGGTCCCTTTAAAGGGAACTATAGGGATTCTATAAGGGTATAGTGTTTGGGGTTTCGGGCCTACTTGGAGAATCATGGGTAGTTAAAATAAGTCCCCTAATATGAGTTACAAGTATAAATACCCTACTTAGAACCCCACTTATAACTACCCATGAACCTCCAAGTAGACAGGGGCCTTAAGAATTAACATGGGGTTTGAAGGTACATTAGCATGGGGTTTGGGGTACATTAGAGGTAATTACTAGTAACTCATCTTAGGTGAACCCTAAGAAGGAAGATGTGTAATTCTTCAGGCCTTGCCCGAAAAGACTTCGCACCGTCGAGGCTCGTGACCACGACACTACCCGCAACGGCAGTAGGAACGCAACCAGCGATGTGCCAACACGTGGAAAAACACCATGTGGCTCCACCGCCAACAGCATCTCTAACGCCATGGACATGACCATTACCACTACCACTACTACTACCAATACCACTCCAACTCCACTATCACTGCCATTACCACTACCACTACCGCTACTGCTTCTGCCACTACTACTGCGAGTACAACAACAACGACGACGACAACGACAACAACAACAACGACGACAACAACAACAACACCAACATCAACACCAACACCAACACCAACACCACCACCACCACCACCACCACCATCACCACCACCACCAACAACAACAAGGTACAAACAAAAACTGCAGCCCCGTCAACCCAAGTATCTGCTTTTTGCCTGTACATTCGGTAGAAGCAAAAACAGGAGCCCCGTCATGTTGTTTTACCCCCCCCCCCCCCGCCCCAACAACAACAACAACACAGTGCCAGTGGATTCGGTGTGTATTTCAGTGGATTTGGTGTGTATTTCAGTGGATTTGATGTGTATTTCAATGGATTTGGTGTGTATTTGGCATGTATGTTCAACGGATTTGGTGTGTATTTCAGTTCCCCGCTGTGCAGGTTGTGCATTTGCGAGGCCTGTACAAACTACTGTAGACTAAATGGTAACTATAGTTTTGAGTGTACGGGTATCCAATGCAAACCCCTCAAGATTCCAGACAAGCCCTTCCAACACCCATCAGAACCTCTTCTGGATATCGCAGATTCCTATACCTGTGGTGGAAATGTGGTGGGCGGTTGTTGTAAAGGCGGGGGGGTCAAAACAACAGACGGGGCTCCAGTTTTTGCCTTTAATACAGGGGGTGGAGACAAAGTCCTATTTCGCTGAGGACTTTGTCTCTACCCCCTGTAGTAGAGGCAAAAACTGGAGCCCTGTCTGTTGTTTTGACCCCCCCCCCCTTTTACAACAACCGCCCAGCCTACACCGCAGCTAAACCATGGCTTGCACTTCCCAAAACTCTACAGGCACCCTATGCGGTCGCCGGAAGCATTCCCAATTGCATCTAATTAACAACAAGTACGGGCTGCTGTTTTTGTCTGTACCAACAACAACAACAGCAACAACAACAACGCAGCGACAGCAACCACAACAACAACTACTACTACGACGACGACCACTACCACTACCACTACCACTACCACTGCCACTGCCACTGCCACTGCCACTGCCACTGCCACTGCCACTGCCACTGCCACTACCACTACCACTACCACTACCACTACCACTACCACTACCACTATATACCACTACCACTACCACTACCACTACCACTACTACTACTACTGCTGCTACTCGTTCTTCACTAGTTACGTTCATAAATGAAGACAATACCGATTGCTGATTGGCTGTTGCTTCAGGTCTACAAACCTGTAAACAGGTCTTGCAGGTGCCTCTCAGGCTACAGACGCGAAAAGACATCAATCCTTGACTGCAGAAAAGGATCTCGAATGCACTCAGTATGGCGTTGCTGCAGATGGCCTCGGCTCACGGCACGGTTGCGAAAATAGGTTATATCCTCGACCAAGCTCCGGAAGAGTAAATCCCAGTGGTACTTCATGACGACTAAGCCAACAAACCTGATGATGCAGTGACCCATGACATGTTTGTCTATATCGATTTGCATGTACGTAGTTAGCGAAACAAACTCTGCGTTATGCCCCGAGGGCCACCCTGCTTTGGTACCTTTCTCAAGGTGATTATGATGTTTCGGATGACTGTGAGAAGCGGAGGACAAGGAGCAGGGGAGGGACAGTGTTGTTATAATGGTGACCACGATGGCGATGATCGGAGTACACAACATGTATGCGATTGCAAGATTCACTGCACATGTGTGTGTGTGTGTGTGTGTCTGTGTGTGTCTGTGTGTGTCTGTGTGTGTGTGGGTGGGCGGTGGGTGGGTGGCTATGTACATATGTGTATATGTCCCTACATATGCATGCATGCATGCAGGCTGCAAGACAGGCAGGCAAGTAGCAACTAAGGGGGGTGATATGATTATTTTAGTCCGAATCGCTACACGTATACCTATTCACAAATATATGTATATGTATTTGACGTACGACAGATACAAGAGCCGGAGGCACACATGTCGTCTACTGCCCTAAACTCCGAGCTTTCTACTCTGTTTCTTCCGAGCTACATCCCTCTGGAGCCTCTTCGGCGCGAGCTCAGCTAGCAGCGCAGAAGCACTCCGCCAAGCAGTATCTGACCTCCTGTCAAGTCAGGTAAAAATACAAAAATACAATAATAGTACTGATAGTAAGAACAATAATCATAACAACAATTATGCATTAAGGCTTTGGGGTTAGGAGCTGTAACGTTTGGACTAGTTTGAAGCTGGAGGGATTGAGACCTTGGGGCTGTATAGGGATTTACAGCATGTATGGGAGAACGATTTGGGGGCTCCGTGGTCATAGGGCCTCGGGCGATGATGATGTTATGAGGGCGATGATGATGGTGGTAACGATGACTACGAGCCTGAACATATCGGCAGTGGTATACTAGGTCTAGTGCCAGGGCTTGGGGATGTCAAGCGGTTCAAGATCTTGCAAGATCTTGGTCTATAGCCTGAGGGGGCTTGCATCAGGGTTGAAACAAGATTCCTGGGCACACTACGGTTAGCGACAGCGGTTTCAGGTTCGGGAAGTAGAGGTTTGTTCGTGGTCAGCTATGGGAGTCGAAGGCGCATTGCTTTAGCATGTGGGAGTTCAGGGGATCAGCGTGTGGAACAACAGCGTGTCAACATGCCAGGGGGTTCGGTGAAGCGAGAAAAGGCCTATTCTGTTCGGCTGCTCTCGCCGCGGCTCGGTGCACATTTTGGGAGAATGTCGTGCCTCCACAGTCTCTGTTCGCCAAACCCAGATAGTACATTGCAGTTTACTATGGTATATTATAGTAATAGGGTATTATCGTACATTATACTATATTCTTTTATGCTATGGCATATTATCGTAAGCCCATATACACTCCGGTCTCGTGCACATTGTGGACCTCGAGCTTACCAAAGCAGCAAGCGATGCAAGCTCAACTGTGGGGCAGAATCCCAAAAGGCATGAGGAGCTGAGTGCTTGAGCGTCATGTGTTCAGCGTTCCTCGGCTTCCAACAAAAACCAGCAGTGCTTCTTTCTTGCACCTTGTAACTATTTTTGTAGAGACTAGGACCCCTAGGCGCTTTCTTCAACCCCACGTGCCTCTTCTGACCCTTCTCGCAAGCAGAGATGGCAGCGGCCACCGCGATAGTGTCCTGTCTCGGTAGACTCAGTGCCTCAGCTGTCCGGCCTATGAACCATCAATAGACCAAGAAAGTCCGAGTTTCGTAAACTGAAGATTGGATTCTCTGATTCAGCCATGATCGAATCGTTTTCTGGGAAAGTGGAAGGCTGGCTGAAAAAGACTTTCAAGCTGGAGCGTAGAACGCAAGATATGTCGTATATCATATACCATGTAACTTACAAATTATGAAACATGTTGCATATCATGAACTATCAGTTATACGTGGAAATCATACGAAACATACATATATATATATACATACACACACACATATATATATATATATACATACACAGATAGATGTATGTTACATAATACATAACATACTTCGTATTACAAATTATGTCATACCAGCTACCCGTCAAGTATGGTAAGTTAACATCATTCTTATCGGTCTTCTTCGTAGTGTTAGTATCTGTAATTGTAAAATGCCTCTACGTATATATATATATATATATATATTATGCATAGCACTATGTGTGTATATATAGTAGACATACATGCTATAGCACGCACGCATGCGCGTGTACATACATACATACATACGTACATGCACATACATGTACTGATCTGTTAGTTATTGCTACTGGTAGTAGGTGTACAAATGTATATACATAGAACTACATGTATGTATATACGGTATCGCTTATGTATATATAACATATATATATATATATGTATATATGTATACACACTTATTGCAGGTCATCGTGTTCTATCTAAATGAACTAGTGTATAACACATATTATAAGCTAGTTACATAGTTTGTGCTAGATCTGATGCATTGTATTGCATGTTTTCTTTGCTCTCTTTTGTTCTAAGGCTTGCTATCGTGGATTATTGAAGCAGTTGTTTCTCTATTGTTATGGTGATTTCTGCGATTTCATCTTTTTGAAATGTTCATCAATTATTTTATCTTACAAGTTGTATAGTGTGTCCTGTATATATATATATATATATATATATATATATATATATTGTATATACATATTCTAAAGCACTTCGAAGATATACATAATATATGTGCGTGTGTGTTGTCATACTATAAACTACTATGACATTGCATTTTTTAGAACATAGAAATATGTAATGGTTCCACATTGTATATATATATATGGTTCATTTGATATTGAATGTTGTTTGGCTACAAATCTTGCGTAGTACAGGCTATATGTTGCATACTAACTGTATTATACACCCGTATGTACTCATGTATATATATATATATATGTATGTCTACGATTATGTATATACAAGAACACCATGAACCCTCCATATATGTCCATGCTAGCAAAAACAGTGGGCGCTAGCAACATGGAAACATTTCGAGTAAAGTTCGTGAAATGATATACAGCAGACACATCTGCAATGCTTCCACCCATCCACGCATAGTTTATGACATGTGCAGAAACTCCCGCGAATCTCAGAACATCTTGCGGGCAGGGTTGTTGGAATTTCGCTGCTGCCTCGTGGCACAACTGCTACTAAGGAAGCACGCACTTTTTCCCACTCTCTGGCTGTACAAGCACTGTGCAAAAGGCAGGGCTGCAGCCATCAGTGCTCACAAAGGCTGACCGCTCGGAGATTCCAATTCTGCTTATGTAACTTTCGCTCCTCCATGAGCGACAGTCGGTGCTCCCGAGCCTCCTCCAAGGGCATCACCCCCTGCTGCTTTGGCACGTGCTGGGTGGAAATGATCCTCACCCCTGGGTTCACTAACCAAAACCTCGGAAGCTTGACAACAGAGTTGTATATTCCGACAGAGGCTCATTATCATGACAAGTTGTACAGCACCTAAGGCACCCTCCCCTAGTGCATCCTAGCAGCACCACAATGCGTCGCACCGCTGGGCTTTCCGATGTGTTCGAGATCTTCTCCACCTTGTGGATGTGGCTGTTTGGCCAAGCCGCCAGGCGCCGATGTGGGAGGGGCAATTGGCCAAGGGGGACAAGGCCTGCCTCCACTACCTCACCCAACTGTGCTGCCCGGTCCTGGGGAAATCCCATAATCATGGCGCTCCCTTCCGTCTCTCGGAAGGTTCGCTGGAACTGCAAGCCACCACCGACTAATGCGGCATCCTTCTTCAAGATGAGCTCTGCTGTCGCGACGATGTTCTCATGACTCATCCCCTCCACGTGCCAGACGCCTTCGTGGGTCCCGCCCCCAGGCAGCTCATAATCCACAATTTTGGTAATGACTTGAATAGTGCGTCCACCAAGGGACTGGATTTCTATGTTCTCCGGCTCTCCTTCACCTCGCAATGGTGAAAGCAGCCAGCTCTTAATGCAGGGGCCTTAATAACTAGAATAGGGTTTTGGGCCCCATTATACTGTAATCATAGTATAGTAAGGAACCCGCAAAATAGTAGAGGTAATTATTCAAGCCCCTGTAGTACGCTATGGTATGGACGACAACGGTCGGAGAAACCCGTGCTAAAAGCAGGGTGAGTCACTGCAGTCAGAGTAGTCCACGTCCTGCTCACCATTAAAGCCTTTTACTTGCTGTCCATGGCTCCAAGCAGCTTCCAAATGGGGCAGACACCGGGTCAGCAGGCGCTCCAGTCCACCGCATAGTTCACCATACCTCGGCCGTGGGACACCATGGAAAACGAGGGACCTACGTAGGCTTGCGAAGGAGATGCGGCGGTAAATGCCGTCCCAGGTGCTTCTCCCGGTCGAGGTTGTTGATGTATGTCTGGAACTTGCAAGTACCATCTGCTGCTACCGAGACCTCCGACGGCAACCACTGGTACTTGCTCGTCTCATATGGCCTTCCCCACATGTCCTTCCGTTCACCCTGCGAATAAACTGCAGGCGTAACATCGTCAGTCCCTGTGGTCTGGGATATCCCCTCCACAAAGGGGTAAAGGGAAGGATGGACCAGATCCCGGACGATCTCGTCGGTTCCCGGATGATAGTCCTTGGCACTCTTGTCTTTCAGGTCCTCCACGAGCCGATTGAGCTCGTCGACTGCCTCTTGAGGGTGAGTTTCAAAGGTCACACCCTCACGGACGAGCTTCGACTGGTGATTCTGAAATAGAGCCTCCATCTTCTCAGGTACCACAAGCTCGTTGTCCTCGCTCTCCGAGACGTCGCTCCCGTCGCTCTCCTGCGCAAGTTCGATGAGATCTTTCACGAAGCTATGGTCGAAGGGCCTCGGAAGTCCTAGACGCATAGAGCCATAGAGCCTTTATAGATGCCCACAGCAAAACCCTATAAAAGTCCTACAAAGACAAAACCCGCAAAACTCGTCGAAGGGCTTGGGAGGGTCGAAATGAACGAAAAGCTCCGAAGGGTCAGCGAGCTTAGAGAGATCTTCTCCTTGCTCAAGCATCGACTCCTTGCACGCGATCCTTCGGCTCTTCTTTCGGGGTTTCATATAGGGGCCTTGATAATCAGAATAGAGTTTTGGGGGCCCGCTATGCTACAATTACAATAAGGAACCCCCCCAAAATCGAAATAGTAATGCTTGAGGCCTCTATAGTAGGGGGTTTGGATGTTGGGTTTAGGGTGTGGGGTTCAGGAACTTCTGGTTCACTTTAAGGTTGAGAAACTGTGGGTTTTTTAAGGGTTTAGGAGCCTCTTGGTTCGGGGCCTAGGAACTTTAGGCTTCCGGTTTTGTAGGGCTCTACCCAGAGGCCCCAAAGTAGTTCCTTTTGGGGATTACCCTTTTTTTAGGATTCTATATATGAACCCCAAGAAGGAACTACTTTGGAGCCTTTTGGGGTAAAGCAGCTGAATATAATTTCTGGCATACTGAAGCCATGTTAACTATGTACTTTGCATTCCGATTCGGGTAACTCGAAAGCTGTTCTGAACCAGACCCCAGGATCTTAAGGCCCGGGGACGTGCTTGGTCTGTCCAGCATTGAAGCGAACTCTGCCACGGTCATTCCTTTGCGCACCTTTGCTGGGCCCGACAACACTGCGCCTGCCATTGAGTAGGCAGTGAGGGTCGGCCCGTCTGCTCCCATGCGTGGGGCCTTGGCCGCAGGCTCCATCTCTGCGGCGAGGGAACGTCGCCCTAACGTAGCAGCAAGGGACCTGACTGCCAGGCAATGTCTGCGCAGTGCCATGTGCTTTCCCTACCATGCTGAGAGAGCCGTAAGTCATCCATGCAGCGAGCGCTTGCAAACCTGAAGCCCAAGAGTGCTCATCATGTACAAGGTTCGTGATACTCTAGTATATAGGGGCCTTGATAATTAGAACAGGGCTTTGGGGCCCATCTATAATATACCAAGGAAACCCAAAATAGTATTGGTAATTACTACGGCCCCTATAGTAGACAGGAAGCACCACAAGGGCGGTGGCGCTTGCAGGTCTCGTTCAGCTCCCATGCAATCGAGCTGCGACAAGCCATTCCGAAGCTTTCTGGCAAGCCTGAGACAAAAAACCCTAAACCCTAAACCCTAAATTTTTTGGTCGCGGGACGATTTCAGGATTCTCGGAGCATCCTTACCAGGCGAGGAGTCGAGACACAGACTGTACACAAATATACATGGGAGTTACCGAGAACCGGGAACCCGAATATGGTTATAATTCAGGTAACTATACTTATAACTACTTATAACCTATAATTAAGGTACTTATAACCTTACTTACTAAGTCCCATGATCCTCCTAGTAAAAGGGAGCCCGATATGGGAGTTTCCGAAAATAGCGGACCCTAATATAGCACCCTGAATAGTAGGATCCTTATTATAAGGAACCCAAAATAAGGGTACCCCTAATTTTCGGAAACTCTAAACCCTGAACCCTTTATGGAACCCTTATAGATCCCTTTAAGGAACCCTTTAAGGGTAACCCTAAGGTACCCCTAATTTTCGGAAACTCCCATATAGAGAACTACCGAAGCGAGGAGAAGAGACGGACCTCGGCAGCCGACCCCTGAGCGGACGATCCCCCTGCACCTGACTGCGAGCCCTAAACGCTCGAGCGTGCCAGAAATACTGCTGATGGACAAAATCCTGCATTACCCATTATGAGGAATATACCATAATTCCCATAGTCTAGAGTCCTTAGGGTCATGCAGGATTTTGACCATCAACAGTATGACCTTACTTGGAGGTTCATGGATAGTTATAAGTATGGCTATAAGTCCCTTACTATAGTTACCTTACTTATAACCATACTTATAACTCCAAGTAAGGGTCCAAAGAACGCAAAAATTAGGTAATTACTCGGTTAGGATAGTAGGTCTGTAGAGTAGGATTTTGGAGAGTATATGATTTTTAGGTACTTGGACCCTTAGGGTGAGGAACTAGAAAGTGCAAAGGACAAGCCTATGCGCGAATGCGAAACCCATGCTAAGACTGGACACCTTCAATCCCTTTTTGCTTATACATCAAGCAGCCCCAAAATCCCATGAACTGTGCACCGAAACCGATGTTCAGGGTTTAGGGTTTTAAGGGTTTAGGGGATAAGGGCTTAGGGTTTAAGGGTTTAGGGTTTAAGGGTTTAGGGTTTAAGGGTTTAAAGGGTTTAGGGCTCAGGGCCCCCAAGAGAGCAAGCAAGAAGATGTAACCCCAACAAGCAAGCCATCTCTGATGGGCCTGTGGGCATGCTGTAAGGTGGTATCATGTAACAGAACGCAACATAACGTAGGACCTAGTATGATGAAATATACTAATATGACTTACCATAGCACATAATGCAATACTAGGTAATGTAACATAATGTGGTATGATATGATATGGTATGGCAATGCTTCATCTGATATGATGTAATGTAATACCATATAATATGATATGATACAATGCTATATGAGAATGTGTCATAAAATGATGTAATGTAATAATATAATGCGGTTAACCTCGTCAGTTAAACCTGCGCATCTTTGTTTCATGAAGACTCCGCTCATTGCGTGACAACGCAGTGGGTACTCCATTCTGGCAAGTTGGAGGGCCTCTGACTGTTGAAATTATGGGATTCGGGTTTAGGAGTAGTTCCTCGCTCAACTTAAATGTGACTCTGACTGCTGCGTCAATGACACCTCTGCAGTTATGCCAAAGATTTCTTTGTTTTGGAGCAACGGAAAGATTGCAGTATGCACCGTCCTCCAATTCACCAGATGCTCCTATCCCACTGCTGGTAGTCTGCGCCGGGTTCAGCCTCTCGGCTCGTCAGCTGTGGATCTGATTCTCGGACGTTGCTCGTGCGCGCGGCCTTTGTGCCCTAATAAGCAGGCTGACGGAGGGAACTCACACGGGAGCTTGCGAAACCTAGGGGTACCCTTATTTTGGGGTCCTTACAATAAGGATCCTACGATTTAGGGTACTAAATTAGGGTCCCCTATTTTCGGAAACTCCCACACCGTATATAAGGCTTCATCTTCAACAACAGATACAACCCCATGTGCAAAAGCTTGAGTATGACGACCGCCGGGAAGGACAAATCTGGAAGGGCCCAACATCCTCAATCATCAACTCGCAGGTTAATATAGGGGCCTTAACCATTACAATAGGGCTGTGGGGCATAGTAGGCTATACTTTTGGAGAACTTTCAGAATGGTATTCTGCATCATTTGGGCTTACAGGTTACGCAGTCGTCGCCGAGAATTCGAACCCAAAGGCGGTAGTAGCATACGCAGAGAGCAGATAGGGGGAGGAATCACCCAGTAGTGGACTTTATAAGAAAGAACAGGATTTTGGGCATAATCTCCAAGCCGCATAACAACTTGGCATAGTGAGAAGGTACCATGCTCAGGTAGGTACCGTGGAACCTAGACTATTAAACCCACATCTCATACCCTGCTCTCCATTGATCGGCAAAGGTTGCAATACAAGCTTGCTGTCTGCCCCTTCGCACTTTGGGCGATCACACAGACTGCAGGCGGTCCCATAAATTGCTAAGAGATACCATGTCCTTGGCTTCAAGACATTGAGAATTCTCCCTACAAGCCCGAAGCCCTAAACCCAAACCCTCAAACAACATCCATCTCGAAAGCTGCATGGACTGATTTCAGCACTTCGATCCCTTACATCGGGGTGTAAACTGTAATGCAGGGGCCTAAATAATGAAATAATAGGGTTTTGGGGGACATTATACTTCAACTATGATATTATTAAGGCCCCGAAATTGATACATATTTCCAATCCCGGCATCGCAAGAACGTCAGCCACAGCTAATTGTGATGAGTCTTGCTACCACAGTTTCTTCTTCGTGTCCTCAGCCGCGTTCCTACCACTAATTACTCAAAGGGGAAAAGGAGGGACCCTTAATGGGGACCCCTACCCTATAATGGGGCTATATCATGGGTATATAATAGCTGTATTAATTAAGGGTATATACCTAGGGGTCCCTTTACCCTTGGAACTACGTTTCCATGAAAGCGATCGCGGGACTGCTAGCACCAAGTAACGCTGTGAGGACATTTTTCAAACACTGGGTGGTTACCATGCTATATGTGGAGTTTCCGAAAATAGGGAAACCCAATGTCGCACCCTAAATAGGACCCCCCAAAACGGTACCCCCAAATTGAGGAATTTTGGAAACTCCCCATACTGTTAGGTGACATAAATCTTCACTACCTTAAGGACGCTAAACTATGGGAATTATGGTATATTCCTTATTATGGGTAATGCCGGATTTATATCATCAACAGTATGGTTAAGAAGCTGCCCCCACCCTGTTCGGGCCCGAATATATTCCTATTAAGCCACTATTACAGGGTCGGGGCAGCTTCTAAAGTATGTTGCTTTGGGATTGCAGCCAGGAGTCCCACGCAGCATTGACCCTGTCAACTTAGCACCTGCCGCTGGGGTTTGGAAGGCTTCAGGAGCTACGGTGCTACTTAAAGTTTTAAAGGATCATGGGACTTAGTAACTAGGGTTATAATTAAGGTAACTATGAAATATAATTCATAACTACTTATAACCTTACTTACTAAGTCCCATGATCCTCCAAGTACGGCTTTGCCATGAAGGAATTGAAAATCTACGCTTTCTCCAACATGAAGCCCTGCGCCAACTGATATCATGGGATGCGGACTTAGGAGACACTCATGAAGCATACCCCTTGTTGAAACATTTGGTTGGTCTCCATCTCTCTCGCTCTCTCTCTCTCTCTCTCTCTCTCTACAGGGCGTGAGGCGGGCAGCAGCGTCTCTCTCTTTCTCTCTCTCTCTCTCTCTGTGTCTGTCTCTCTCTCTCTCTGTGTCTCTCTCTCTCTCTCTCTCGCTCTCTCTCTCTCTCAGGCCGTGAGATGGCCTGGTAAGGAGGCTGGTAGCTGGGTGTCGCCAGCCTCGCACCGTAAGCGCCTGGAAGCGGAGCGAATCTACTGGGCCCCCCCCTTCAGGAAACTTCAGGAAACAGCAGAGGGTCTGAAGATCAAGATGCTTACGCAGCTTCTCATATATGTTTCAAAGGCAGCACCAACCGTCTCGTCAGGGTCACGCACAGACTCCTAATACAACAACAACGAAAATGGCAGCAACTACTACGACTACTACCAGTACTTCTACCAGGACTGCAAATACAGCAACACCAACTACTGCTACTGCTACTGCTAGCGCTGCTGCTGCTGCTGCTACTCCTACTCCTAGTCCTACTCCTCCTACTACAACTGCGACTACTGCAACTGCTACTGCTACTGCTACTGCTCCTGCTACCGCTACTACTCCTCCTCCTCCTCCTCCTACTACTACTACTACTACTACTACTACTACTACTACTACTACTACTACTACTACTACTACTATTACTACTACTACTACTACTACTACTGCTCCTGCTTCTGCTTCTGCTTGTTCCTACTGGTAGCCTTGCTATGACTTGCCAATTATTGGTACTGCTTGGTCACTTTGGCCTCCTTAGTTGACTTGAAGTCCTCTTGAAACGAATGGGATCGGCACCCCCCCTGACGTCCCTACTCTAAAGAACGGAACCTGCTTCAGGCAACAACAACAACAACAACAGGCACTGTTTCACTGCGTTCCTACCCGGCTTGTTCAGCTGGTTTTGGTGGGCACTTACCAGGGCTCATGTCTTTTATCTGGAAGATGCGCCTGTGCTTTGTCCTGGCTGGCTGTAACCAGTGAACAAGGCATTGGGAGCCGAGGTGGTGTAGGTGTATGCACCCGCACTGAGATCCGCATTCAATGCTTTCTGCGCCGTCGTGCCTTCGATGCATGGAGAAACCAAGTGCTCCCAGGCTTCGCCCCTATATAAACCCTAAACCTCAACCCTAGCTTTCTTCAGCTCCCGAGGTGCCAATGACTTGGCCCTGCTGGGTGTAGCTGGTCAACGATGCGGGAGCTGCAGAGGTGGTGTAGCTCGGTGCAGTGTAGGTGTACGATGCCAGGTCAGCCCCCAAAGCGCTCTGTGATGTCTGGCCTCGGGCTGACAAGCAAGAACAACACAGCCAAGGTCAAATGCAGCCACG